GACAGGCAGAGGCATCGTTGGTAAACAGGCCAGGGCCAGTTAATGCAGAAGGCAGAGGCATGGTCAATCGAGGCAGCAGGCAAATGATCAGCACAGATATTAGAAACAGGGAAATGGCAGGCTGTTAAAAATAAGGGGAACTAATATTGTAGTGGCGTGTGATAAAGTCAGAAGCAGGAACCCTCTGCTGTATACCCTACATTTATTTTTGGCGTCTTCTTCCTGTTTCTGTTGGTGGAATGTTCTCAGGGAAATAGCACTCATAATGTCTGCTGACACAATTGGAGTGAATGCTTTCTGATGGAGATCCTTGCTGGTACATTAGGGCAGGGATGACATCTTTTATAAATTTGATTAACGTGGTGTTGACAATTGACATGTGACGTTTGCATTAAAATTGCCCAAATAGAAAAGGTAAATTACAAATTTCTTAGGAGAGGGATTTTCTTGGTAATAAATAGGGCTGTAGCATCTGATCATGTAAATCCACAACCCCATGAAACAATTAGAATTGGGGATAGACTCATGGTTTGTAATGGGACCGCATCTTCTGTGAATTTCCACCTAAGTGTCATTATCGATGGTAGACAGTACATAGACACCTCTCTTATCCCCCCACTTCACGGCCAACACTTCCTTGCTCCTTAGGCTTGCTGATTCCCTCCTTTGTAGCCTTGTGGTCACAAGACTTTGTGGGAAGCCCTTCCTGTTTGTTCGGGTGGTACTGCAGGCCAAAGTTTCTTTGCGGTACAGGTGGCGGAAAAGGGCAGACTTGTGGAATATTTATCTAGGTAGATGTGATACCCTTTTTGGAATAATGGAAAAACCAAGTCCCAGACAATTTTTCCACTTGTGCTGATATAGGTTGGGCACTTGGTGGGCTGGAGCTGGGAGTCTTTGCCTTCGTACACGTGGAAGCCATGCACATATCCAATGGCTCTTTCACAGAGCTAGGTGAGCTTTACTCCATACCTGGCCCTTTTCTGTGAATGTATTGCTTGATTCCAGGGGCGGACTGACCATTCGGGCACTGCCCAAGGGCCCAGGGTCAGTAGGGGGCCCCATGAAATGTCCCTGGTACCTTTTTCATAGGCATTTTTGAGTTTGGGCAAGGACACAGGGGCCCCATGATCCCCTATTGCCCGGGGCCCCATGAGTTGTCAGCTCCCAGCATTCCAACATGGCTCCCTCCTCCAAGCCGCTGTAACTTCAGTCACTTCATCAGTGTTAAACATTGCTGAAAAATAAGCATGGACATTTTTTATGGAGTATTTTTTTTTAAATTGTGCAAATTGCTTTGCTTAAGAGTTAGGGGTTACCAACACTGTTGTAAAGTCTAGCGCTGTATATACAGTACATACAGCGAAGGAAATAAGTATTTGATCCCCTGCTGATTTTGAATGTTTGCCCACTCACAAAGAAATGATCAGACTAAAAATCGAATGGTAGATGTATGAATGGTAGATGTATTGTAACACTGAGAGACAGAATAGCAACAAAAAATTCAAAAGAAATGCATGTCCAACAAATTATACACTGATTTGCATGTTCATGAGGGAAATAAGTATTTGATCCCCTTCACAAAACATGATTAGTACTTGGTGGCAAATCCCTTGTTGGCAATCCCAGAGCTCCCTCCACAGATTTTCAATCAGATTAAAGTCTGGAGACTGGCTAGGCCACTCCAAGACCTTAATGTGCTTCTTCTTGAGCCACTCCCTTGTTGCCTTGGCCATGTGTTTTGGGCTATTGTCATGCTGGAACACCCATGCACAACCCATTTTCAATGTTCTGGCTGAGGGAAGAAGGTTCTCACCCACGATTTGACGGTACATTGTCCTGTCCATCGTCCCTTTGATGCAGTGCAGTTGTCCTGTCCCCTTAACAGAAAAACACTCCCAAAGCAGAATGTTTCCACCACCATGTTTGACAGTTGGGATGGTGTTCTTGGGGTCATAGCCAGCATTCCTCTTCCTCCAAACACGGTTGAGTTGATGCCAAAGAGCGGTCTCATCTGACCACAACACTTTCAACCAGTCCTCCTCTGCCTCATTCAGATGTTAAGTGACAAACTTCATACGGGCTTGGACATGTGCTTTCTTGAGCAGAGGGACCTTGCGGGCACTGCAGGATTTCAATCCTTGTCGGCGTAGTGTGTTACCAATTGTTTTCTTGGTGACTGTGATCCCAGCTGCCTGGAGATCATTGACAAGCTTCTCACGTGTAGTTCTGGGATGATTCCTCACTGTTCTCAATATCATTGACACTGCATGAGGTGAGATCTTTTATGCACCAGACCTAGGGATACTGACAGTTGTTTTGTGTTTCTTCCATTTGCGAATGATTGCACCAACTCTTGTCACCTTCTCACCAAGCTGCTTGGCAATAGTTTTGTAGCCCAGTCCAGCCTTGTGTAGGTCTACAGTCTTGTCCCTGACATCCTTGGACAGCTCTTTGGTCTTTGCCATGGTGGAGAGTTTGGAATCTGATTGTTTGATTGCTCCTGTGGACAGGTGTCTTTTATACAGGTAACAAAATGAGATTAGCAGCACTCCCTTTAAGAGACTGCTTCTAATCTCAGTTTGTCACCTGTATGAAAGACACCTGGTAGCCAGAAATCCTGCTGAATGATAGGGGATCAAATACTTATTTCCCTCATGAACATGCAAATCAGTGCATAATTTGTTAGACATGCATTTCTTTTGAAATTTGTGTTGCTATTCGGTCTCTCAGTGTTACAATATACTTACCATTCAATTTGTAGACTGATCATTTCTTTGTGAGTGGGCAAACATTTAAAATCAGCAGGGGATCAAATACTTATTTCCTACACTGTATATGCAAAAACATTTTTGAAACTGCAATCTGGTTAGTTGAAAAAAAGCAGCTACGGGTACAAAGTATCTAACAAGTAGTTGTAACACGGTGAATAGGACATGTGCATGGATGATTGTGCTGTGGGAGTCACAAAGAAGCTAATTTAGTGATAATTGCTCTTTTATATTTTTAGCAACAGCTTATGTATGAACAGCTTGATAATTTGACATTTATCTGTAAAAAGCTCCCTGAGTGGTAAAGAGATTGAGGTGTTGCTAATATCAGGTTAAAATCACTTTGCTTCTTCTTTATAATATGGAGCATGTAATAGGTCATTACCAAAGCAATATCTCTCTCTTCTACTTCCTTTTTGTCAAAATGCTCTGTCAATTGTGCTTTATAATTTGAATAAAAAGAGTTTGGATTTAAAAAATATCACTTTGCTTACACATTTATTTCAAACATAGAAATTTAAAGAAAATGTATAGTATGTGCTTTTGTGGCTTTTAGCAAATATCATCAAAGTATCAATCCATCCCTGATGGGGTGCTTCAATTTGTGACCATTGTTCCTTTTTTACAGTACAGTTTGTTCAAGTTTAGTATTTTATTTATTACAGGTACTGATATAGCACCATCCATTTATGCAGTGCTTTACATATATATTGTACATTCACATCAGTCCCTAACTCGCCAGGGGCTTACAATCTAAAGTCCCTACCTTTCATTCATATACTGTATACACATACTTGGACCAATTTATACAGGATCAGGAAACCCACGCAGGCACAGGCAGAACACACAAACTCCAGGAAGGTGGTACTGTGGTTGGGATTTGAACCAATGATCCTAGTTCTGCCAGGTGGAAGTGCTAACCCTTTAGCCACTGTGCTGCCCAATGTGTTATTGCTTTGGAGACTTTTTCTCTTATAATATTAAATCATTTGCACTTTTACTGACAGATATCCAATTTGTGCAGAGTATTTTGCTCCATTGGAACTCTGTTAGACTCCTTATGTTGCTCGGAAAATGTGAAAAAGTCTCAATTACCACATATTTTTTTTTGTAGCTGGCAGGTACTAATTATTGGCATTATGCCTAGTAAGACTCAACTTTAAAATTCCTGTGCTGACAGGTTTCTTTAAATCTTAGGTTTGGTTAAAAAAAAAAAAATCAAAACTTGATCTGTGAATGGTCTACCTCCTCCATTCATAGACCATGTTTCCTTCATGAATGTAGGGGTTGGGTAGAAAGGGTGGGCATAGTTGGACACTCTTGATGAGTGACTGTCACAGCACTTCCAGTGCTATTAACCCTGGCAGCACTGGAAATTATGTCAATGGGGTAGAGGGGCATCAGAGGAGGAAGATTTCGAGGAACGCAGGAACTTCAGCTTGTTCAATTAAGTATTGACAAAAAAAAAACCTGGAAGCTGACTGGTTTCTATGCAGAGTTGCACCAGATTTTTCACTCTCCGGTTTTAGTAAATCGACCCCTAAGATTTAGATAAAAGAGAGAAAAGTAGAATTTGCTGATATTTACCACACGTTTTCTGACTGAAACCCTAGGTAGAACTAAGAAAGGATGACTTAGTTCTCTGTCCATGTAAATGTTAGCTTCAGCTATTAAGTTCTGTAAGCAACAAGTGTTTTATAACAAACAAGCAAATAAAGTAAAGGAAACAGAGGAAAATGTGAGAAGCATAGGAAGCTCAAACTGCTGGCTGGAGAGAAGACTACATAATCATCATATGCAATATTTAATATTTACACAACTAAAAAAAGAAAAACATTTTTTACATTTTAATCTTTTTAGGCCTTAAAATAATAAATACAGTATCAATAGAAGAAAATATATGCAAAACCATTTTACATTCCCCAAAATAAAAACTGAAAAACTGAGTCAAGACAGATTTAGACATTTACATTTTTTCTGGAAATGGAACGTACTGAAACTGCAAGCACTGGTGTGAACCATGCCATTGACAACCATGTAACCTACTTTCTGTGTGTTTTGGATGCAGAAAAAAAAAATGCATTGGACTGCATGTAGTGTGAACCAGTCCTTATGAAATCTCCCCCTTAGAGTTGGATCATATACTATATTGCCAAAATATTGGGACACCCCTCCAAATAATTGGATTATAGTGTTCCAATCACCTCCATGGCCACAGGTGTATAAAATAAGCACCTAGACATGCAGACTGCTTCTACAAACATTTGGGAAAGAATGGGTCGCTCTCAAGAGCTCGGTGAATTCGAACGTGGTACCATGATAGGTTGCCACCTGTGCAATAAGTCCATCCGTGACATTTCATTGCTACTAAATGTTCCACGGTCAACTGATAGTGCTATTATAACAAAGTGGAAGCAACTGGGAACAACAGCAACTCAGCCACAAAGTGGTAGGCCTTGTAAAATGACAGAACGAGGACAGTGCATGCTGAAGCACAGCAGTCGCCAACTGTCTGCAGAGTCAGTAACTAAAGACCTCCAAAATTCATGTGGGCTTCAGATTAGCACAGGAACAGAGCGTAGAGAGAGCTTCATGGAATGGGTTTCCATGGCCGATCAGCTGCATTCAAGCCTTACATCACCAAGTGCAATGCAAAGCGTTGGATGCAGTGATGTAAAGCACACCGCCACTGGACTCTAGAGCAGTGAAGACATGTTCTCTGGAGTGACGAATCATGCTTCTCTGTCTGGCAATCCGATGGGCATGGGCAGGTACTTGCCTGACAGCATTGTGCCAAGTTTAAAGTTTGATGCAGGGGGGATTATGGTGCGGGGTTGTTTTTTGGGGGTTGGACTTGGCTCCTTAGTTCCAGTGAAGGGAACTCTTAAGGCATCAGCATACCAAGACATTTTGGTCACTTTCATGCTCCCAACTTTCTGGGAGCAGTTTGGGGATGGCCCCTTCCTGTTCCAACATGACTGCGCACCAGTGCACAAAGCAAGGTCCATGAAGACATGGATGAGCGAGTTTGGGGTGGAGGAACTTGACTGGCCTGCTCAGAGTCCTGACCTAAACCTGATAGAACACCTTTCGGATGAATTAGAGCAGGGACTGCGAGCCAGGCCTTCTCGTCAATGCGCTTCTGGAAAAATGGTCAAACATTCCCATGGACACACCCCTAAACCTTGTGGACAGCTTTCCCAGAAGAGTTGAAGCTGTTATAGCTACAAAGGGTGGGAAAACTCAATATTAAACCCTAAGGACTAAGACTGGGATGCAATTAAAGTTCATGACTGTGTAAAGGCAGGTGTCCCAATACTTTGGGCAATATATTGTTCCAAGACTGGTTTGATTCAGGTAAGATGTAAATATAATCAGATTAGGCTCGTTCATCTTTGTTGGCAACCATAAACCTAGCATACCCAAGCATGCTTCTGGAAAACATATTATGTTACATATTCATGTGTTTGAGGGTGCAAAGGTTTACAATAATTGTAAGTATTTGTGCACAGTTAGCATAGAATTATTAATTTTGCCAAGAAAATGGAGCAAATCATTTGTATGTTGTAGGATGCGTATGCTCTCAGTTTTAAAAAACAAGTTTACTGACTGTTAATTATTTTTAAATCAATTTCTTTGCGGACACTTCTAGTTCAGACTGGAAGAATAGTAAACCATTTTATTAAATACAGCTACATAATTTTATTCTGAAATAACTTAAAAATAAAAAATATGCTGCAATGTGCATTTTGACATGTATTACCTTGCTTTATTTATGTCATTTTGAGATTTATTCCGCTTTCGCCACTTGAGGGAGTTTTCTGCAAAGGATTTGATTAGCCAAATAGATTGTGCCTAAAGCAGCCTGCTGTTTGCTCAGCACAAGAGGTTTGAGCTAGGTTTTTTATTCTAAGAGGATCATTTCACTTGCAACATCAGGGAGGCAGAAGGTGGAGTCTAGAGGCAGATCAATGGGAAGAATAAAACCACCTCTTGGAAGATTGAGCTGCTGACAGCTGATAAGGGGAGATCCTTGGAAGCTTCACTCAGCTCTCCAGCATCAGGTTAGCTGCAGAGGAATAAGGAGCAAATCCAGAGAGACAAAAAAAAATAGTTCCACCATGAGCAACAAATACGATGTGATTGTCATAGGAGCTGGCATTTCAGGTGCGTAATATAGTTTGATTAATATTACAATACTTATGACATTATAAGAACTTAACTTTAATATTTTCACCATAGATGCTGATATTAATTATATATGCATATCCTAATACTGTCAGTAAAAATTAGGATCTGTTCTTCTCTGTACACATTGCTTAATCCATGATGATCCTGTAGAAACTATCTGTATAATCCGTCTAGGCTGTTGGGCTCAAACTGACAAAGAACATCAGTGTAGTCAGATTACTGTTTATTTGCAATGTATAGGATTTAAAAAAAAACAGATGCCATGTTATTTTGTAAGGACATGCAGTAAATGGTGGTTCAAGTAAACATAAACAATGTGTTTATAATTAGTATATAATGCTATATTAAAAACAGCGGATTGTACATCAATATTAGTATTTGTTACTGCCAACAAATTCACAATGTTGAGTGAAAATTTGTAATAGAAGCAGGTTTAAACGAATCAGTTATAAGTACTTATTTGATGTACACACTGGAGACTGACTGCTGCAGAAGTGATTGATGGAAACGGAGACATGCTAAGATACAGCAACAAGTCTGCTACATTGAAAAAATAGATGAATGGCCATCTGTAAGGGTGGAGCACAAGGAAAGGCACAGAGGATTCACTGGAACACACTTCCGTTTATTTCCACACAGGGTGACGCCACCTGCACATAGGTTGTGAAAGCTTTGCTCTTGTTTAATATGAATCTGGATTAATTTGTTAAAATGTCAGCAATACAAAGGAAAAGTAAATGTCTGTAACCCTCTTTGTAACGCACAACAATAGCTTAATCATATATATGTATATAGCGAGAAAGATCAAAGATCCCAAACGAGGTGTTGCAGCATTCGTGAGATTTATTTAAATGTCCATCAAACAAAAAAAGTTACAATTTGGCTAGATTTTCAAGCGAGAAGCCCTTCATCAGGCCAAGAAAGACAGATACTAATATATCAGTACTCACATATATACTAGTAAGGCTAGCAATACTTATGACATTTAAATTATGGACATTTAAATACTATTTGTTTTTTTTAATTGTATTCTGCATCCCCAATTTTGGATCATTGTTAAATATTGAGCCTGGAAGGCAAGGCAGGTGCTGTCTACCCTTCTTTGAACATATACTGTATACTGTGTATATAATTGTTTGAGTAATGTGACTGAGTTAGGAAACCAAGTTTCTGTTCTTATTCAGTTCATGTTTTTAATAACAGAATATATATGGGAAAGAGGCATTTTTTTTTCAATAAACAACCAATCGTGGGTGCAGCATATGCAAAATATGTAGTCTTGCTCTGTCTTCTCTTTGCCATACTAGTACATAGTAGAGCTGGATAGTAGATAGGCAAAGCTTAAAGTGGTACTAAAGTCTACATATTTTTTACCCTAATGCATTCTCTCCATTAAGGTAAAACATGTCCAACTACCTTTCCTACCCTCTCTCTGTCGCTAAACACTTACCTGGCTCCATGCCACCTCTCCAGTGCTGTCTCCAGTTCCCGCACAGCTTCCCTCACTTCCTACTTTCACAGGAGAAACTAAGGGCCATCATTCAAACTCCTGCAAGGAAGAAACGGGGACTGGCGTACCAGCGCTGTGTGTGTCTATAGACCCACAGACACGTGGGTGCCTCTTTAGCAAAGGTGGCACCGGAAGGAGTGCCAGAAGAGGAGGAGAGCAACCATTCTGTGCAATATCTTTGCACAGAGTAGGCAAGTATAACCTCTTATAAAAAAAAAATACATGTCTTTTAGAGTCACTTAAAATGTGTGCACAAAGATTTTTGCTAGAAGTGTATATTACATATTATTACCACCGTTTAAAGTAGGCCTAAAATTAAAAATCATAATCCATATGACAGGACACATGTATGTGCTATGAAATCAGAGTTTGTTAGGAGCCAGCACCCGAAGGTGTCCTAACAACCAGTGACTTATCCCTTCTCTCATCAGCAGGGATAAGTCACTGGTTGTTAAGGAGCTTGCACCAACAGAATGTAAGCAAATGAGCCTGTCAGTAATAAATAAATAAAAACGTCATGGGGTTCCCCCTCCAATCCGTATCAGGTCCTTCGGTCAGGTATGGATTTTAAGGGGGAACCCATGCCAAACATTTTTTAAAAAGGCATGGGATCATCCCAAAATGCATACCAGACCCTTATCCAAGTATGCAGCTTGGCAGGCCAGAGAAAGGGGGCGAGGGGGGAAAATGAGCATGTGACCCCTCCCCCCTATTGAACTATACAGACAACATGGCCTCAACATTGGAGGTTCTTTCCTAGGGACCCCCCCTAGCAAGGCACCTTGTCAGCATGTTGATGAGGACAAGAGTCTTACCCACAACCCTGTTCTGGTGGTCGTGGGGGGGCTGCAGGTGAGGTGGGCTTATTGGAATCTGCAACCCCACTTTAGCAATAAAGGGGTCCCCAGATCCTGCCCCCAATGTGAATAAGTATGGGATACATTGTACCCCTATTGATTCACTGAAAAACTGGAACGTAAATAAAAAACACACAACTTAATCTTTGACAAGTCATTTTTTGACAATGTCCTCCAATGTACATCCATCAACAATCACGTCATCTAGTGATGTAGGTCCACATTAATCATGATGAACGACGGCTGCCAATCTGTAGAGCTGGCAATCCGCCGCCAGCTGACACCTGATGCTTGCCTGGCACCAAAGTACACACTGCTTTCCCTGACGCTTAAGTAAATAGAGGGTCGGGTCACCAGGTGACATCATTTACCATATATGAACATGTCCATATGTTGGTGGCCATCATTCATCATGATTGACATGGACCTACATTTCCGAACAATAGATGCACATCAGGGGACTTTTTTGTAATAAAGGACTTCTCAAAACCTGTGTTATGTTTTATTTACATTTTATACTTTTCCTGGTGAATGAGTATGGGGTAATATGTACCCCATGCTCATTCATGGGGGGCAGGATTAGGGGGCTCTCTTGTTCTTAAAGGTGGTTCCAGATTCCAGATAAGAACCCCACCCACAGACACCACAACCACCGGACCAGGGTTGTGGAGAAGAGGCCCTTGTCCTCATCAACATGGAAAGAAGGTGCTTTGCTGGGGGGGGGGGGGTCTGCCCTGGCAAAGTACCCTCCCATGTTGAAGGCATGTGTCCCAGTATGATTCAGGAGGGGGGTTTGCACGCTTGTCCCTTTCCTGGCCTTCAAGACGGCATGCTGGGATAAGGGTCTGGTATGGATTTTGGGGGACCCCATGCCATTTAAAAAACATCTAGCATGGGATCTCCCTTAAAATACATAGCAGACCTAAGGGCCTGGTATAGATTTTGGGGGATGCCATGCATCTTTCTTTTTGGCATGGTGTCCCATTTAAAATCCATACCAGGCCTGCAGAGCCTGTTATGGATTGGGGAAGACCCCCCCCACAGCTGTTTTTTTTTTATTTTTTTCACTGACAGCTCCTTTGTTTACATTCTGCTGTCAGCCGGAAGTTCCCCGACTGACAGCAGAGATGAAGTGGGTGCTGGCTCCTTAGCAACCACTGACTCATCCTTGCTGGCTGACAAAACGCAGTAGTATAAAAAATGCATCATAAATTCATCAGAACACAACAACATCGCACTACATAATCGCA